TCTCAAAAAAAAAAAAAAAAAAAAAAAAAAAAAGAAATCGAGTTTTCCTCTGTCACCCAGACTGGAGTATGATGGTATGATCATAGATCACTGCCACCTCGAATTCCTGGCCTCAAGTGATCTTCTTGCCTCAGCCTCAGAGTAGCTGGAATTACAAGTGCATACCCCCCATGCCCAGCTAATTTTTACATTTTTTTTTTTTTTTTTTAGAGACAGAGTCTTACTTTATCACTCTTGGTAGAGTGCTGTGATGTCACAGCTCACAGCAGCCTCCAACTCCTGGGCTTAAGCAATTCTCTTGCCTCAGCCTCCCGAGTAGCTGGGACTACAGGTGCCTACCATAACGCTAGCTATTTTTTTTTATTGTTGCAGTTTGGCCGGGTCCGGGTTCGAACCTGCCACCCTCAGTATATGGGACCAGCGCCCTACCCACTGAGCCACAGGCACCACCCTAATTTTTTAATTTTTTTTTTTTTTAGAGATACAGTCTCACTTTGTCACCCTCGGTAGTACCATGGCGTCACAGCTCACAATTAACCTCCAGCTCTTGGGCTTACCTGATTCTCTTGCTTCAGCCTCCTGAGTAGCTAGGACTACAGGAATCTGCCACAACGCCTGGCTATTTTTTGTTGCAGTTTGGCCTGGGCAGGATTTGAAACCACCACCCCTGGTATATGGGGCTGCCGCCCTACCCTCTAAGCCACAGGCGCTGCCCTAAGTGGGGGAAAAGTTTTAATGTAGTCCCCTACAAAACAGAGGATGCCACATTTTCTTCCTCATAAGAATCATTTTAAACTCTGCTTTCAGGAGAAATTGTTTCTCACATTTCATTTGCCACTACCTTCTGCTAATTAGATGTTTTATACTTTACTAGACCCGAGAGAGCATGGAGCAATTACAGCTGGAAGACCGGGTCCTCTGCCTCCACAATAGATGGCGAATCCTCTATGCTGGACTGGCAAATGGCACTGTGGTCTCCTTCAACGTAAAGGTTAGTGGTTTGGAAAAGAAGGCTGAATTCCACTTAAAAATAATATAAGCGTATATAGGAAGAAGTAGCATGCAGGCATTTTTCTGTTTTCTTGTTGAGGAAGCAACAGAATTAGTCGAGACTCAAAAATTGTTACCTTCTGATGTAAGTGAAACCAGATCCTCTGTTCTTTCTGTTTAGAGTCAAATGTGCCAGAACCATAATGTAACTCGGCTAAATTAAAACAAGCCTGAAGATTTGGGGCCAAATAATGAGTCACAGGTTAAACCAGTCTATCTCATTTTAATAATAACACCATGAAAAATGAAGTTACATTCCTTTGACTATGGCATTGGTGTGGTTTGGAACTGATTTAGGGTTTCATGAAGGTGGCCCATTCTGTAAGGTGAACTAAGTCAGCAGTCTGCCTTAACATCCGTGTATCCTCCTTCTTTCTTAACCAATCTAAATTCATTCTTTAGCAGACCTTTCTCTTTTTTTTCTCCGACTTGACTTTACAAATGCAGGCAATCGTTGGGCAAACCTTTGTTGAGCATCTGTTAAATGATAGGCCCTATTAATGTTTAGTAAGTTCTTGCTGACCTAATGTGCTTTGTTAGGGTATTTGGATGTCATCTTACAGGTTTTAAAGTATGAGAGACATGATCCAATTTGTATTTTAGAAAAATTTGCTGTGGTGTTGATGAGACTGGGAAAGACTGGTATTAGCAAAAGCAGGTAAACCATTTAGTAGACCTTGTAGTGAAAGTTGACATGAAAGGTTAGACTAAAGATAAAGAGAAGGGAGTGGATGAAAGAGGTAATCTGAGGTGGAATCCATAGTTTTGTTACCAATGAGCTGTAGTACCCTATCCTCTAGTCATTTTGTAGCAGCATGTTAGGATACTTACTGTTGCAGAATCATTATATGGTACATGCTGGCTCATGCTACTATAAATTCCAATAAGATGTCATGGTTCCACCTTTAAGAAACTTAAAAATAAAGTTGGAAGAATCTGACACCTACATGAATTAAGTGCCAAGTTATTTGGTCCACCTGATAGGACGATACCACAGAAGAATAATTAATGAAGATTTTTATATTCTACATGGAAACAAGTGCCATCAGCTTGATTAGATTGGATTAGGGCAATAGAAATGGAAAAGAGAGAATAAGTTAAAAATATTTTAAAAGGTAAAAATTGATAATTCTCTTCTGTTTTGTGAAATTCATTAATGTTAAAGAGGTAGACAGAAATTAGGAGCAAGACTTTTGAGGCAAGGAGGTGATGAGAAACTCAAACGGAAAATTTCCTGAAATGGTTAAAGAGCCCTGGCAAAGATGGACCTAGAGACAGAGATTTGAGAGTTTCTGCCTAGACATGAAATAAGGCTTCACTTTTTCTGGTTTGCCCACACTATAGGAATGTAGTGCCTCTGGGGTCTCAGCAGAAAGCCAGAATTATTTACCAGGGCCTATCCACCACTAGGTCCTGAACTCCAGTTAGTCTCTCCCCCCAGCACTTAAGGTGGCTAAAATCATTGCTCAGCTCTGTAGACTCCCAGCTGTTGCTTTCTGCTTAGTATGTAAGAGTTTTGCTCCATGCATGCAGCTACAGTGCTTCTAAAGGGGAAGTGGGAGACTTGATTAATGAGATTGATGGGAGGATGACAGAAAGAAGTCTAGAATCTTACGTAGAAGAATATTTGGGGATTCAGGATGTGACCATGCCATTCTGATGTAAAGCCTTCTATAGTTCATTAAATGATGTAATGAGATGACATAGAACCAGAAGCCAGAGGAACATCATAATAACAAAAGGGGAAAACGTTGAGACTCTTATTGAAATTGTCTAAGAAGGTAGTTCTCAGTAGGGAAAAAAAATTTTTTTCAAAAAAGACAGAATCACTTTATCACCCTTGGTAGAGTACCATGGCATTACAGCTCACAGTAACCTCCAACTCCTAGGCACAGTCAATTCTCTTGTCTCAGCCTCCCGAGTAGCTGGCACTACAGGTGCCTGGCACAACGCCTGGCTATTTTTTTGTTGTTGTTTTTGTTATTGCAGTTTGGCTGGGGTCAGGTTTGAACCCACCACCCTCAGTATATGGGGCCAGCACCCTACCCGCTGAGCCACAGGTGCCGCTCACAGTAGATATTTTTGGAAACAGCATGATAAATAGAGTGTGTAAATTTTAGATTTCAAAAACAGCAGAAGAGTTCCTGGGTCTGTGTCATGGAACGTATACTATAGTTTGAAAAAAAGGTTGATCCTTTATTATCATTAACTTAAGGGAAGTGAAAGAAAGCATAAAAAGAGAACCAGTTTATAATGAGGATCAGGATAGTGGGTGGAAATTATAAATTAGTTTATAATACAAGTTTGCCTTCACTAGATCAGGGGAGGGGAGGTCACAAACACAGCAAAGACGGTTGGAGTGGGAATAACAGTTAAGGTCATAGTGTATGAGAATTTGACTAGGGATCATAGAATTGAGAGTTTATTAAGATAGTAATTTTAGTTAGTTGATTTTGAGGTTTTCTAGCTAAGTTGCTTTTCTATATAGTGGTGGTTTATTTTCCAGAACAACAAACGGCTTGAGATCTTTGAATGCCATGGCCCTCGGGCAGTCAGCTGCCTTGCCACAGCTCAGGAAGGTGCCCGAAGGCTGCTGGTTGTGGGATCTTATGACTGTACCATTAGTGTACGTGATGCACGGAATGGACTGCTCCTCAGAACTCTGGAGGGCCATAGCAAAACTATTCTTTGCATGAAGGCAAGTATGATGTAAGAGTTGTCTCAAATTCAAGGATTTGAATGGCATTTCTCATGTTGTTCAATCCGTTATTTAGGATTTCATCTTGAAAAGAGCAAGGAGATTACAAGCCTTTTCTTTATGTTTGGGTCACCAAGTAATGTACTTTTATTTGAGAAATAGTAAGAATGTATTTTATTATAGAGTGTGGGTTTACTTTAATGCCTTCCTAGGCAAAAATTCTGGAGAGGTAACAGACCTGGTAATACATGTCAATTCATCAGAGTGGTTGGTAGGAGAGTTTCAGTTGAGAAAATTTGTTTGAGAAACTTGTTTTATACCTAATTTATGCTCATCTCAAATAGGATGGAAATTAGAACTTGCTAATGTGTTACAAGTTATAGAAGAAACTAAGAACCTTGTGCAGAATCTGGTTCATTGAATGTTTTGCTTTCAGGTGGTGAATGACCTTGTGTTCAGTGGCTCCAGTGATCAGTCAGTCCACGCCCACAACATTCACGTAAGTTACATTGGTAGTACAAAGAAATCTTGAAGAAAATGGTGGTTAAAGTCTGAAGGTTTCCTCAGATCTCTTGCAAGGATTCATAATAATTCATGTGTGTGTACTCTTGGATAATATAGAACAACATAGAAATTCTGACTTCAACAAAATTTTTAATGGGGGACAGATTCAAATTTTATGTAGGGTATAGTTTGAATGCCTTATTTAAATTTGAGCAGTTAAGGCTTCTTAAAAGGTATATTACATGTAGTTAAAATAGAACAAGTAAAACAACTGAGAGACCACTTGCAGGTCATAGCTCTTGGAAAGTCAGTTCCTGGTCTGTAAACCTGGCAATCATTTCACCTAATGGACTTGTCTAGATCCAGTGAAATGATAAAAGTGAAAATACTTTGAAAGCTATAAAATATATAGCTTTAATAAAATACATAGCTTCAATAAAATATTAATACATACAGATGGAATTGTGATCCTTCCCTTTCTGTGACATTAGGTTCCCCCCATAAGAATATATTTTATGTATTTTGGGTAGGTAACAAATGCTTATGGAGTACTTCAGCTATTAAAATTCGTATAGCTACACACATGTACAGGTTGACTTGGAATTATGCCTCTTAGAATTACAGAATCATAAGTAGGAAAGGATTTTGAAAGTGACTCTTCCCCGTCTTCTGATGTAGACTGGTGAGCTTGTACGGATCTATAAAGGTCACAATCATGCAGTGACTGTGGTGAATATCCTAGGAAAAGTAATGGTGACGGCTTGCCTGGATAAGTTTGTTCGCGTCTATGAATTACAGGTAAAATTTAGATCCAGTATTTTGTGCTTTAGTGATTTGGGGAGATTACCTAAGTTTGGTATTGATTTTCGATACAGCAAGGCTGGGGTGGAGCCCAGGAATCTGCATTTTTCACAAGCATGCTAGAGAATGATGAAACAGCTGGCCTATGACTATGCTTGCAGAAACATTGCTCTGAGATATTTGGTCAGGCTCATGGTGTCAAAACTTCAGAGCTTTTTGGAGCGAAACTCTGGTCTCTTAAAACTTAAGTAGTTCTCCTTGTGTACACCTTCAAGTTTGAGACTTTGATAATAAAGAAATTGGTTTTATTATTTCTAATTAACAGCACCCCTCCTTGAGGAGTGGGTCTTTTTTTTTTAAAGACATAGTCTTCACTCTGTTGCCTAGGCTAGAGTGCCATGGCCTCTGCCTAACTTACAGCAACCACAGTCAAACTCTTGGGTTAAAGTGATCCTTCTGCCTCAGTCTCCCAAAGTCGGTGGGGCTCTAAGCAACCGCCACAACACCTGACTGATTTTTCTGTTTTTAGGAAAGATGGGGTCTTGTTCCTGCTCAAGCTGATCTTGAAGTCCTGAGCTCAAGGGATCCTCCTACCTCAGCCTTCCAGAGTAGTATTAGGATTACAGACATGACCTACCACACCCAGCCAGGAATGGGTCTTTTTTTTTTTTTTGGAGACAGAGCCTCAAGCTGTCCCCCTGGGTAGAGTGCTATGGCATCACAGCTCACAGCATCCTCCAACTCCTAGGCTCAAGCAAGTCTCCCGCCTCCGCCTCCCAAGTAGCTGGGACCACAGGCGCCTGCCACAATGCCTGGACATTTTTTGGTTGCAGCCATCATTGTTGTTTGGCGGGTCCGGGCTGGGTTCGAACCCACCACCTTAGGTGTATGTGGCTGGCGCCTTAGTCACTTGAGTCACAGGCACCGAGCCCAGGAGTGGGTCTTAATAGAAGGCTATTAGATTGTATTTCTGTTAGAATGCTACTGGTGCTTCAACTGAGTATCTTGGATATAGTTTTAAACTTACCAAGGGTCCTTAGGGATTATGCTTATTAAAGACAAAGTATAAATAACCTTAATTCTCCTTTTCTTTTTTTCCCCTTTCTCTGAAGTCCCACGATCGATTGCAGGTTTATGGAGGACACAAGGACATGATTATGTGTATGACCATTCATAAAAGTATGGTGAGTATTATATACTATTGCCTGTGAATGTATTTACTAAAAATTCTATATACTGAAATGTTAATGCTTATCACTTCCAAAAGTGACATCTGTTTCTGATATGCCTCATTGTTGAATACCTTTCCATCTCTTGGCATAATAATAGTAAGAGATAGTAATAATAACCCAGGGGCAGTGTTGAATATTTCATTTTATATTAATAGCTAAAATAATAAAAATAAAAATCTAATACCACCATTAAATAGAAGGCAAATTTAAGGTGCTTCAAAAAGTTGAGTAGTGCTTTTTTAGAACACTGGAGTAGAGTCAGGAGATTTGGCCAGTGTGGCCTAGTTATAATAGATCTAAAAGTAGAAACTAACTCATTTAATCCTGCCAAGCCTTGGTTTATTCTTAAGTTATGAGGTTGAGCCAGAATGGATGTTTCTCAAACTCTAGTAGAACTTTTACTTCCAATGAAATACAGGTGCCTGATATACAGCACCTGACAGAAATCAGAGCTACACCAGTTCAAGAATAAGTGGGTGCCTCTGAGCCCTGCCACATCCCAAGAGTGGCTCTCTAAGGAGCACCACTTCAAAGTACCTAGACCAGAAGAACAAGAAAATACTTCGCCATTCTAGCACTCGGAGCTGGTTTTGGCTTAGGTTGTATTTTCTTAGGATAGCTGCTACAAATAGCTTTTAACTCTTACTTTGAGAGTGTTGTATAGTTTTTGTGTCTGTTTTGGTCTACTAATTATAAACCTCTCTCTCTCCAGATTTATACTGGATGTTACGATGGCAGTATTCAGGCTGTGAGGCTAAATCTGATGCAGAACTACCGCTGTTGGGTAAGGAGTAAAACTGTTCTTATCACTCGACTTAAGAGTTGGTTAACCTTAGGCTAATTTATAAATCTTCATTGTCTTCAGTTTAATATTTTTATTTTGAACATCTATTTTATGCCTTCTACGATAAGACAAGGAAGCTTGCTTGCTTATTTATTTATTTTGACTAAAAGCCCTGACTTAAACATTAAGATCCTTATTTTTTAACTATACATAACATACTTGTATTCTTTAATGAAAAGTCTATTCTAAGATTAACTATAATGCATATTTAAATACTGTCTGCTAGACTGGGCTGTGACTCATGCCTGTAATCTTAGTATTCTGAGAGGCTGAGGCAGGCAAATTGCTTGAGCTCATGAATTCGAGACCAGCCTGAGTAAGAGTGAGACCTTGTCTCTGAAAATAGCCAGGAATTATGGCAGGCAGCTATAGTCTCAGCTACTCTGGAGGCTGAGGCAAGAGGATCACTTGAGAACAAGAGTTTGAGGTTGCTGTGAGCAGTAACGCCATGGCACTCAACCCCAGGGTGATTGACTATCTCCAAAAAATAAATAAATAAATAAATATTATCTGCTTAGAGGTTGTCTCCAAGCTGATTTTTCTTTTGTTTTGCGTTATTGTAAATCAATATTTGCTTATAAAAGTAACAATACAGGCTCGGCGCCTATAGCTCAACTGGCTAAGGCACCAGCCACGTACACCTAAGGTGGCAGGTTCGAATCCCCAGCCCGGACCCGCCAAACAACAATGACGGCTGCAACCAAAAAATAGCTGGGCGTTGTGGCGGGCGCCTGTGGTCCCAGCTACTTGGGAGGCGGAGGCAGGAGACTCGCTTGAGCCCAGGAGTTGGAGGTTGCTCTGAGCTGTGATGCCAGGGCACTCTACCCTGGGGGACAGCTTGAGGCTCTGTCTCAAAAAAAAAAAAAAAAAAAAAAAAAAGTAACAATACAGAAGTGTGAGATAACTCACATTGTACTATGTTAAGTATCAGGGGGTTGGATTTTGTTCTCGCTGCTTTTTGAGAAGTAAACAAATAAAAATTTATAGTTTTGAAGTTCTAAATCTCAGTTCACCAAGCTAAGTTGTGTGATTTTTATACTGGGTTTGGAGTTTATGATAACCCTTAAAACTGGCTCGGCGCCTGTGGCTCAAGTGGCTAAGGCGCCAGCCACATACAGCTAAGGTGGTGGGTTCGAATCCAGCCCTGGTCCTGCCAAACAACAATGATGGCTGCAACCAAAAAATAGCCGGGCGTTGTGGCAGGCGCCTGTAGTCCCAGCTACTTGGGAGGTGGAGGCAGGAGGCTCGCTTGAGCCCAGGAGTTGGAGGTTGCTATGAGCTGTGATGCCAGGGCACTCTACCCTGGGGGACAGCTTAAGGCTCTGTCTAAAAAAAAAAAAAACCCTTAAAACTTTCACATTATTTCTTATGAGCCTTAATTTTTTTTTCATCAGCTGCAGTATTGGTAGTGACCAAAGAGAAGTCTATGGGACTGAATTTCTTTTCCCTGAGACCCTGACATCCTTTTCAGGATTGGAATGAACTTGACATTCCCCATTTCTAAATTTGACTTTAGACTTATCTGTAGACTAATTGCTTTTCAACTTTTTACATATGATCATTCTTGTTTTTTAATTCATTTATTTATGAAATGGGCTTTTCTATATTGCCTAGGCTGGTCTTGAACCTGGGCTCAAGGGACCCTCCTGCCTCAGTCTCCCAAGTAGCTGGGATTGTAGGCTTGAGCCACTGTACAGCTCCTGCCTTTGCTTTTTAGTCTTCTCAGTGAAGGCAAGCAAAATCTAGTACAGCTGTGCCCTATTATCCCAGTGGGATGTGTTCCAAGATACCCAGTAGATGCCCAGAATCACAGATGGTTCAAACCCTACATTACTGTGCTTTTTTTTTTTTTAACCTAATAGTTAAGACAGCTACCAAGTGAGTAACAGGTGGGTAGTATAGATGAGGGGATGATTCGCTTCTGGGGCAGGGTGGAATAGGACAGCACACAATTTCATCATGCTACTCAGAATAGTGTGCAGTTTAAAACTTATGAATTATTGTAGAATTTTTCGTTAAATATTTTTGCATGGCAGTTGACCACGGTAAGTGAAACTTCAAATAGTGAAATCATGGATGAAGGGGTCTATTGTACATCAGGATACACAAATAATGATTTAGTCTTTTTAGAGAAATAGGGAAAATACCTTTTGGTTTTATAGATAGAGAGGTGAGTTAGTACGACAGAGGAAAAACTTGAATTTGCATTATTTTTTACAAGTGAACACATTAGGCTGGGCGCGGTGACTCGTGTGTGTACTCCTAGTACTCTAGGAGGCCAAGGTGGGAGGATCGCTTGAGCTCACGAGTTTGAGACCAGCCTGAGCAAGAATGAGACCCTGTCTCTACTAAAAATAGAAATGTTAGCTAGGGGTTGTGTGGGTGCCTATAGTCTCAGCTACTCAAGAGGCTGAGGCAAGAAGTAACAGAATGAGACTGTCTCAAAAAGAGAAGAAAGAAAGAACATGTTAGAATTAGAATCACAAAATTTATTATAAACAAGTATATGAGGGAAAGCCAAGACAAAGAGTCTTTGTGCTTCCTGACTAATATATGAATTTTACCTGAAGATGTGGAAGTAGCCTCCCCCCAAAACTTAAAAAACATGAATTGAACCAAATTTATATTACAATTTAAAAAAAGATGGTGAGTGGAGAGCATAGTTTTCTGCAACAGATATTTCCACAAATATACTTTTTCTTATCAGACATTTTTATTTTCAAGATTATGACTCAATAGGCTTAGTGCCCATAGCTCAGTGGTTGAGGCGCTGGCCACATACACTGGGGTTGGTGGGTTCGAACCCTGCCCAGGCCTGCTAAACAATGACAACAACATCCGAAAAATAGCCGGGTGTTGTGGCAGGCTCCTGTAGTCCCAGCTGCTTGGGAGGCTGAGGCAAGAGACTCACTTAAGCCCAAGAGTTTAAAGTTGCTGTGAGCTGTGACGCCGCAGCACTCTACAAAAGGGTGACATAGTGAGACTCTGTCTCAAAAAAAGAAAAAGATTATGACTCAATAGTTCTTAGAATTGTTCAGAATAATCCTTTTAGTGTTGTTGTAAAGCTCTTTGCTTTTTGTGATAAATGGAATAAGACAAACTCAATTTTAGGATGGTAAGAAAAGAATATGGTTTAAACTGAATTCTGTTGTAATTCATTATGAATATTTGCTAACCTTTTATCTGTCTCACAAGATGTAATGGCTACCCTTAGTGCTTGCCCTTCTTTTTTTTTTTTTTTTTTTTTTTT